GCTAGGGACCAAGTTTCCAAAGCCCAACCAAACCATTCCAGCATTGCACCAAAATAATTAGGGCATAATATGACTTCAAATAAACAACCATGCGGAATGGAGTAACCGTCACTATAGTTTGTTCTTAGCTTGCGAAGTGATAAGTCTGCGTAGCGATTGATGAGCCTGCCACAAATAAAACAATGCCAGTTATAAAGGGTCCTTGTAGTAGTCGTCACTTTTATCTGCTGCCCCAATCCAATCACAATTGAGAAATGGGGAAAAGTCCTCAAGTGGTATTCCAATAGGGGTCGTTGAACTGCTGTATTTCATAATCCAGGGGTGTATAAATCAACGATAAATGTAATGATACTGCCATAGGCAATAGAATGTTATCTTCGGATAGAGATATGTCCAGGAAGTGTAGAATTTTGTTAAATTTGTTGTTCTTGCTATTTTTGCCATATTTGTTGCTCAATCTTTTCACATAGCAAGAAAAATTCTCGTTACTTTAGCGATTTTTGCGAAATTTTCTATTTCTTCTATACTTTTCTGATAGCAGTTTTCTTTACATCTTTTTTGCTAAAATTGCGAAAAGAACTTGTTTGCAAAATTTTTGCTAACAAGATCGATCCTGGACATTAGTGATCTCTTCAAAGTCTAATTCTAATTTACCGACGAGCGCGCACCTCACATTCATAGTAGAGTCACTTACCCGGGGCAGCGTGGACCCATTGTTTATTAACGATTGTGATTGTGCCTATAAAACCTTGATGGCGAGAGTATGTAATAGAGTGAGATTGTTTGAGTTAAAACCTGTTTTACAAAGGATTTAGTGCCTAAAAAAATATTAAAAACGGGAGTCAGTTGCCCTTGTAACATATTCTCACTACCTACAATAAACATGAATATACAATGCGATGTGGAGCGGTGAAAATGGTCGCTGTCCAATCGCTATCAAGAAGTGTGGAGAGCAATACGTTCACATGACTGTATTGAAGGCATTGCACCGCGTCATGTCCCGGGGGTTGGGAGGGTGGGTCGCTGATCACCCTCTGAGATCGATTATCGTCAACTAGACATGCTCGCTTACGGGCGGTTCGACTGTTGACAGTTTTACAAAATATGTTAAAACAGCATAATGGACGTTAGATGATAAATAAAAATTGTTTTAAAAATGTATATCCATTCTATTATACTATCAGCAAAAACATGTTTTACAATGATGTGTCATATCTGCTACATACCGTAAAAGTTAATTACACAATGTAGACTGTTAAACATAAAATTACGTAATTTCTTATAACAAACTATGCTCTCTATACTTATGAAAATATATTGCAAAAATAAAAAGACTCACTCAAAGAATACTTTTCAGTTAACGCCTATCTGTTTCCTTGCGCAGGTTCCTTTTGTGATAGGTTCAAAAGTTACCAGCACTCGACCAATCAGAAAAAAGTGGATACCATTCGTTTCTTCGTTCATATTTTCCCGCGTATGACTGAGCAGCAGCTATGTATTGTATTTCCCGTACTCATTTCTTCAATAAATTGTCCGCGTCGTTTGTGATTAACTGGAATAATTATTTTTTGCATTTGGTTTTACAGTACTTCATTAAAACTTATTTACTTTGAACAGCGTAATTTTTAAAACTATACATAATAGAAATAATAAAAACCGATTTATCTACAAAACATATATTGAACAAATACTACACAATTCTTCGATATATACAAATGCCTAACTGCTTTGTAATTACTACGTAAACTTTAATCATTATGACAAATTTTAACTTACGAAATTGTATTCTTAACTCTGAGACCTAACTTCCCCGTAAATTGTATTCTTATTTGAGTAATGGAACTTTTTTTCATAACAAGAAATACCTAACTAATATGCAAATTTAATTTTCGGGGCGGTCCCAAGAGAAATTGAAGACAAGGCTTATGTAAATTTTGGGGGTCAAACAAGGTGTATTATGGGAGATGTGCAAATGGCGAATAGACCAGTTTTCATGTGTGTGCTCAGTGGCCTGGCCTTTCAAAAGAAGGGAGGATGGTAGTGTCCTTGCTTTGTTACAAACCTTTCTGTTGTTACACATATTCACGAGCTGGTTAGCTTAAGAATAACACGATTTGCGCGTGAAAGGCAGAAAGGTTTGTAAATAAACAAGTTCACCTCAATCCTTGCTTCCATGCAACGACAAGGCCATTGAGAACATGACTGTAAAACGGCCCATTTCCACGGTATATTTTCCACGATCGAGACAGATACAACCAATTAACTTGGCTTGAGAGGAATAAGACTTCCTGAACCTACGTCACGACTGCGTCACTGCTCCGGTCCGACCGAGAGAAGACTAATGCAGCAAATTTCGAAGAAAAAAAAATCGCGTTTCGTCGGAATCAACAAATTTCTTAGGGGCACTTCAACTTCAATTATCTTTTCACTACAAATACCTCAGTCAATAACTACTCTGTAAACTGTATTCTTAACAACAAAATACTTTAAGTAACAAGTAAATTTAATTTTAAACTATAAATATCAGGTACAGTGTAGTTCCGTACAAACTTGAAAAAACAGCCGACATTTCGCGACGCTACCACTGGTTTCCCCGCGAAATGACGTCTGAGAAACGATCGAATAAACTCCACACTGATGACGTGTCACCACCCATTTCCGAGCTGTGCTTCTGATGGGTTCAGTAAATTTTCCTCGCGGCACGACCAATCAGAATTACTACCCAGATCTGGGTAGTGAAATATCAGCAGTATGACATTGGACAGCTTAGGCAGCAACGTTTTTGAGCAACGCAAGTCAACCGGAAGTGAGCTTTTTTTTCTCTTTTAATGCCTTGACGCCAACATATTTGTATGGCTATGTGGCTTTACTCTTATAGGACGATTTCCTCAAAGGTTTGTTTAAAATCACGGTCGAAGAGTGCAAAAAGTCTACTTCCGGTTGACATGCGTATTTCTGCGCTCGTTCCTCAGTTGTCATTCGAGAGGAAACTAGTAGTGGCGTCGCAAATTCGTCTGTTTTCTCAGATTAAATCTGTACAGGAAATAAAAAGCGGCTTGTATAACAAGCATTAATCAAGCTATTCCGATCCTCTTATAAAGCAATGGGGACCTTACAACGCTAGGACGACGGCGCCAGGGCAAAGATTAAACAACTACTCTGTATGCATCTGCATAAGCTTTCCTGTCAATTTCTTTAAGGTCCCTACACAACTACGACGTGAAATGGCCAAATTTAAAGTTTTCTTGGGAACGTGAATGACAAGACGACCAATTTAATTTTATTGTATCTTATTAAAACACTGAACGAGTTGGAATAATCCGAAAATTTTAAAAGCTGGACGCGAAGTTTTTCAGTGACGTTTTCACTGGTGTCGCCGGACTCATGTCGCAAGGTCCCTACTGTAATAACCGTTGTTATAATCGTTTTTGGCTTATACCTTGAGCATACTGTATCTGTCATAAGTTGCTATAAAGTAATACGGTGATGGAAGCATCATAAAGTTAGCGTGTACCGAGTTCTCGGCCTTGAAATTCCAACTGCTATGTCGTTCTTCCATAACTATTGTCAGCACTCACCATTAAGAATTGTTATTTAACTGCTCCAGCTTCTCAATATTCTCTTCCATGCTGGGTCTCATGTCTGGATCTTCTTCAATACACCACAGTATCAGCTCTCCAAACTTCTTGTTAGTTACCAGTCTCGCTTGTTCCTCCCGCTTTTCAGGTTCTGGCAGATCCCCTGTGCACATTTCACAGAAGAGAATTCCAAAACTGTAAACATCAATCTAAGACAACAAAACAAATTACCTGAATTAAGTACATTTTCGGTTTTATTTGGTATCTGTTCCTGTTACGCTGCAAAAGGTCATGAAACTTTCACATGCCCAATATCTCTGCTGAGGGTGGGAACCTGACAATAGAGACTTTAACATCGAGGTTTGGCCATCTTACCGCAAACAGGGCAAGCCGCGGTTAGCGGTTTCACATTAGCCGTCTGCTCATATTTGCATCTTAAGATTAACGGGTGGTAGCTGGCGGCTGCCATGTTCGTTTTCATTTATTTGATTAATTCATGGACTGCAATTTTAGCTGAGAGATCGTCTCCAAAATTACGTTCAGATGAAAAAGAATTCGATAATTAATAAGCAAAAGAGTTCTTAACCGTGGTATACCTCTCAAACGTGGGATTGTGATGTGTTGGGGTGCAAAAAAGCTTGTGGTAAATCCCCTAGAGCGTGGTCCAGCCGTAAAAACGCCTTAAATCGCCAACCTGACGGCAAGGCACTAGTCACGTGATTCGACGTTCGCAGTGGCGGGAACTACCGAAAAACCTCAATCTTAAGGTCTCTAATAGTCACATTTACGGCAAACGGAAAGCACGAAATGTAACACCGTCACGTAATCAAGCTTTCCATTTACTTGTCTTCTATTGTTCATTACTTCTACACAGGTTTATCCATAACAGTTGTTTTGGACTATTTTTGTCTGCTCGTTTTCTATTGTGAGAAATTGGCAACTTTGCGTTTGCCATAAACGTTCACCCTAAATCTCTCTAATGTAGGCCAGTCGATGGCCTTGAAATATGCTTCACAATACCCAATACTTCACCACGAACAGTTACAGTGAAGGTTATTTTGCCTGATGGCTCCGTTATAGAAGCAAAGGCTGCTAAATTTCAATATCGGGATCCTGAAAAGGTATTATTTCTCGTTTTTGCTTGGATAACTAAAATAACGAATAAACACTGCATTAGATAATTTCACAGAAAAATAGGACGGAAAAAGTCATAGAAGCAAAACAAAATGTACATTTTCACAACCCTCCTGAAATTGCTCTTTAAAAAAAAAGTCTGGCGTCAGTGGTGACAACAGTACGAAAGACAACATTCTTTTACAGCTATAATAACTACATGAGAGGTTGGAATAGATATTAGTGTTGTTCATATTGAGAAAATTGCTCAATCTACACTGGATTTAAGGAAAGTCATTAACCTTTACTTTACAAACTGATTCCATATAATAGACTTACCTTCACAGTTTGCTTGAAAGGACAACCTATTTCAGGTGCGGCGTAAATCATAGCTCCAGGAGCAACTGTCATAGTTTCCTGAAGAAATTTAGCAGTTCCATAATCCCCAAGTTTGCCTCTCCACTGGTTATTCTGTTTCCACAGCAAAACATTAGCGCTACTCACATCACGATGAACAATTGGTTCAGGTTTTCGTTGATGAAGGTAGTTTAGGGCTCGAGCGACATCCAAAGATATAAAAATGATTTCTGTTTCGGTGAGATGTTCATTCTCTTGTTGTCGCTCCCTTAACAACTTTCGTAAACTTTTTTCCATGATTTCTGTAATAAACAAAGGCCTTTCGTCTTGGGTAGCCCCAATGAATTGTAACAAGCATGGATGGCGGCACCTTGAGGCTATATTCATTTCTCGTTCAAACAAACGGCGCTCTCGTTGAGTAAGAGTCGGTTGATGAAGCTGTTTTATAGCCACCACACAGCCACAGTATCTACCTTTCACAACTCGTCCCAACGCCCCCACGCCCAGACTTTCATCACTTAACTGAACTTCATTTCGGCAAAGGACCCAGTCACGTGTCTTTAACTGACTTTCATATTCAGTTAGTTTTTCTTTAGCTGCGGAAAGGTCTTTTTCGAGCACAACGTTGTCTTGTTCACGATCTCTCAACTCTTTTCGTAAGTCGGTCAGTTCTTGCACCCTCACATTTAATTGCTCTTGCAATTTGGCGCTTTCTTTCTTTTTATCACCTTCTAAAGTGGTTAACTGTCTTTCTAAACTCTGTTTTTGCTCATCTTTCACTCTCACTTGCTCTTGCGTTCTCCTCAGTTGCTTGTCTTTCTCCCTCAATTGCTTGTCTTTCTCCCTTACAAGCTTGCCTTTTTCTCGCAGTTGCTCCTCGTTTATTTTAAGCTGCTCGTCTTTCGCTCTCACTTGCTCATCTTTCTGCCTCAATTGCTTGTCTTTCTCCCTCACTAGCTTGCCTTTTTCTCGCAGTTGCTTCTCGTTTATTTCAAGCTGCTCATCTTTCACTCTCAGTTGCTCTTCTGTTCTCCTCAGTTGCTCATCGTTCTCCATCACCTGCTTGTCTTTTTCTCGCAGTTGCTTTTCGTTTATATTAAGGTACTCCTCTTTCGCTCTCAGTTTCTCCTCTATAGCTCTCATTTGCTCATCTTTCTCCCTCAATTGCTTATCTTTCTCCATCACAAGCTTGCCTTTTTCTCCCAGTTGCTTCTCTTTTTTTTTAAGCTGCTCATCTTTCACTCTCAGTTGCTCTTTTGTTCTTCTCAGTTGCTCATCGTTCTCCATCACTTGCTGGTCTTTTCCTCGGAGTTGCTCATCGTCTACGTTGAGTTGCTCGTCTTTTACTCTACGTTGCTCCTCTGTCCTCCTCAGTTGTTCTTCAGTTCTTCTTTGTTGTCCATATGTGTCTATCACTGAAGGAAATAAAGACAATAATGATGATAACAATGAAATAAGTTAGTACGCGCGCTCTGATTAGCCGAGAGGAGTGTTTGCATGAGAGTAGGTAAAGGCAGTTGTGACTTCAAAGTGTCTTGCTTTTTGCGCGCTAATCACGCAAGCACGAATTTGAAAAGGGGTTTGAGTTGAAAACACGACAAGTTTACTTAACCCATTTCCTCGTCGGCTGAAACTTGGAAAATCTTTACCAACTTGCTCTGGCAATTTTTTTCGCTTAAGCTGACAATTTAAGCGAGAAAAATCCTTATTTTGGAAAGCATCTTTCTTGCAAAACAAGAACTGATTTCGCACACAAGTCTTCGTGTACAGCATTCGCGACTGGTAAGAATTTCTTTTCTAATTAGTGCCTTAAAAAAAAGGTTTGCTTTTATTCTCGGGAAAATTATTTCAAAAAGCAAAAGAAAACTTTTTCCCTGTGTTTGCAAAGACTGATATATACAATGAGGGGTTGGGAGACCGGTATGCAAGCCCTCGACTTAATCTCGGGTTTGCATAACTGTCTCGAATTCTACCAAACCATCTCGTGTTTATATTAGGCAATGCAAACACGGAAAAGGTATTGTTTTGCTTAGAAAATACTTTAAGTTATCAACGTCATTTATTTACTTTGTTTTTGTTGTGTTAATTATACAACTCTTGTTATAGAAATAACATTACATATAAATTTACCTGTGATCAGTTTTGTTAGGCTTGTCAATACATGCAGTTGTGAAAAAATACTTAAAAAAAAAACATTGTCCTTTCATTTATCGAATGCGGCCTTCGCCTGTTAGTCTCCCACGTAGGCGTTTTTGGGGGAGTCGTATTTCCTCCCTCCCGTAAACTGAAAACGCTCGCGTTGGAGGCTATTCGCTTGTAAGATTGTACCGGAGCGTTCCGGGAAGTAGAGCAAGTAGGCCAAATGCTTGTAGTGTCCTGGTAGCGTGGACTCTTGATGGGTTATCGCCACCATCACCATTATGTATGCAAACACGCAGTGTTAAAATAATCG